CAGCTGCCTTCTGCAAGTTGAACCGGTCATTCCCGTGTACTTGCTCCGTCTCTTGCAACGCCACTGCTCTTTGCCCAAGGTCTTCGCTTAATGTGCTGGGAAATATATTTAAACGCTACAAACCAGCGAATTAACCCGAAATGCTGTTATCTTACCGCGTTTTGTGATACGTATAAATGCTCCCCTGCTGCAGCAGCAGCAAAAATGTAAACTCCCAACTCCGTTAGCTCGCTTGTATTTTGGCCTTTGTTCCTTCAAAATTGCAAGACAAAAATTATTCAGACGTTGCGGTCCTTCAGCTACAAATTCGAGCTACAAACAAAATAGAAAGGAGCGGTGGCGGTAATTTCAATATAGGTTTTTCTTTCAAACTGTTACAAACAGGTATTTTCCGAATAAATGTTTCTCCGAAGTTAGGCAGGAAAATACGGCCGTGGCCCAATGAGCAGCATTCTGGGGAGGAATGTAACAAATTAAACGCATAGCCACAGCAGAACAGGATGCGATATGTTGTTTTAAAAAGCAAAGTCTAAGCGGCTCAAGACTCCCTTTAAATGCTATAAAATGAAATAGAAATGTAAACAGAAATAGATGGGGAAAATAAAGAAAAATCCTGCCCTCGTGCAGTCAGCAAAATGCAGAGTAGTGAAAAGTTAAGGTTTACCTAGGAAAGGATTTGGGGTTCTTTTTTTTTTTTTCTTTCGTGTGAATTCCTAATAAATCTTTCCTCCACTGGGTATTTATAAATTATCTTCTCTCTCACAGACACACGCGCGCTCGCACACACACACATCCCCACTTGTTTTTTCTTATAATAGAAACATTTTCCTTTCATCAGGAATCTGAGTACAGTATATGAATGATTTAAGATCCGCCATTGATTTCTGGTGCATTGGTGAGTTACCATCGCATCACGACCATAAAATTCGACTGCACTTGATAAAAATGTTAACTTCCAAGAACAACTTCACTCCCGCCTTCCTGGGGTCCACGTACGAACGGGAATTCCTGCTATTTTTTGCTTTACAAACTTGACTAGATGGGAGCCTACGCCTCCAAATACACACGGAAGAAGATAGCTTCTTTTCTAGAAATACTTTAGTCGATTCTTCTTTTTTTTTTTTCTTTCTTTCTTGAAAATTCTAGCATCGAGCATCCCCACGCCGGGCTGCACAGCTCTATTTACTTATGTGCACCATTTCTGGGGGTTTATGTGCAAAGAGGAAACCAAAATCTGCTCAATCGACAATAAAAGTGTTGAGAAAAATAAAATGTTAACTTGTCTTTTAGGGGGAAAAAAGCCTTAATTATACCACTGCAAGTACTCCAACAACAATAATTACTTGAAAAGGCTCTTAGGCTCGACTGAAATTATCCCTATACAAAATAAAGGAAACGTATTTACTTAAATTATATCTCTAAGGATGGGTTTAAAGTTTTATTCCGTTACTATCTTCGTTTCCTTCCTTTCTTTCTCTCTCTCTTTCTTTCCGTCTTTCTTAATTCCCTGCCTATTCCCACTGCCAGCCTTAATTCCAGTTTGGTTTGGGGTTGGTTTTTTTTTTTTTCCCCAAAGCCCTGGGAAGACAGACTAACCGAAACATTTCAACTTTTTCCTCTTTTCCATGTTGTGAAGGTTGAAAATTGTCCCTCCGTTGAAGGCAGGCACGAGGGGAACCGTCTTTAATTCACCTTCCTCGCGTCCAAACCGCGCGGAGGGATGCAATGGGAAGCAGCAGAAATCTACCCAGGGCAAAGAGGGGGGAAAAAAAAAAATAACAGAGGTTTAAAAGAGTGTCTTTAACTCCTGTTGAAGGTTGGAAAATAGAGCTGGCATTGCGAGGGGCTCGGAGGGCGTCGTGGGCGTTAGGCAGGCTGGGGCAGCGCTGGGCTCGGGAGGGCTCGGTGGCGATATTAGCTGAAAAACGTCTCGGTAATATTTGCTGACTGCGATAAATGAATTTCAAAATCTACCCCCTGTGTGTTTAGATGGTGGAAAATTGCAGCGTTGGCATCTTAGGGGTAAGTTTGCTCCGTTGTTACCAAATGCCAATAAAACAGAAAGCCTCTCTGCCTTACCCCACCCCCTCGTCTCCCCAGTTTCCAGCAGAAGTATCGTGGAAAAAAAAAAAAAAAATTGGAAGTTATTGAGGAGGGGGCGAGGTAGGGAACAGCCATCAGTTACCGACCATAAAGGTTCTGCTCGGGCTGCGATAAGGCGCACAATACTCGGAGTTCGCAATCATCCCCGACCACGTCTTGAGCAAGTCCTCGGCGGGGGAGGAGGCGGGGAGGGGGCTGCGGGAGAGACACAAAAAGTCAATGTTATATATGAAAAACTATCATCATTTTAATTCAATATTGACACCTCAACATCTCGCTGTAATGCGGACGGGTCCAATCGAAACCTCTGGTTTATAGCAGTAGAGGAACGAACTCGTAAAATCCTAACGGCTTTTATGTAGTGCGGTATAAACAACAACAACATCCCCGGCTTTATGGCGTTTTATAGTTTGTTAAACAGTTTACAGCCTTTTTTGGGGCTATTACAAATGCAATTCCCTTCATGTGATAGTTAAACCTTTATCAATAATAAGGAAATTGATCATTAAAATGTTAAATATGACTACCTCGTTTGTTTTAAAATATGTTTAGGGTAAGAAGCTGTATGATTTGATAACTTGTATTAAAATACCAATTACATTTATAGGACCTTTTAAAACTGGTAGCAATTAAATCGTGTTCTTTTACAGTTTTCCAAAGCGACCCTGACATTTAAAAAGGCTAAAACTGCCTCGTTAAAATTTTGAAATTAACGACTGCGAGCGCTTCTCTTTAATTTTCCAACACTCCCCAAAAATCAATCTTTTGGGTGGTCTAGGTATGTGATTTGTTGTGAGGCGAGCGATATCTCATTAATGTAGGTAGTTAAACATATTTAATCCGTATATTCACCCCACCTCCTTCTCCCTTCCCCTCTCGCTCCCTCTCTCTCTCTCTCTCTCGCTCCCTCTCCCTCTCTCGCTCCCCCTCGCTTGCTTTTCCTTCTTTATTCTCTCACACTCTTCCTTTCACAATCATGCAGTGCAGAGTCCGTGTGGAGTAAGGAGAAGCCAATAGGATGAGGTTTTGGTAATAGATGCAAATGATCATGAAAAGACACTGCAAAATATGAAACAACTCATTTGCGCTGAAGTAAATCACTGAAAACTGTTTATGAACTGGCATCTCTTCTTGGAAATGTAAAGCGAGAACTCTTTAAGTGGCGATTTTTTTTTTTTTTTAGGGGTGGGGGGGGAGGAAAGAATTCAATATCATGCAGGCTTAGAGTTTTGATTATATCCTCCTTTTATATTCCTGGAAATCACAAACTGTCGTTGCTTAGCATCTTAGCGCTTTCTTTTTTTGCTAATAGATTCCCGTGGTCTGGTTTGGTTGGCTTCTTCTTTTTTTTTTTTTTTTTTTTTTTTTTTTTTTTTTCCTTCTCCTTTTCTTCCTCCTCCAAACAAATATTCTTATTTAAATTAAAATGAGCTCTTATTTTGTCAACTCACTCTTCTCCAAATACAAAACCGGGGACTCCTTGCGTCCCAATTACTATGACTGTGGGTTCGCTCAGGATCTTGGGGGCAGACCCACGGTGGTGTACGGACCCAGCACGGGGGGCACCTTCCAGCATCCGACCCAAATCCAGGAGTTTTACCACGGAGCATCCTCACTCTCCAGCTCCCCTTACCAACAGAATCCCTGCGCCGTGGCGTGCCATGGGGACCCCAGCAACTTCTATGGCTACGACCCCTTGCAAAGGCAGAGCCTCTTCAGCGCCCAGGAGTCGGACTTGGTGCAGTACACGGACTGCAAGCTCGCTGCCAGCGGCCTTGGAGAGGAGGCGGAGAGCTCGGAGCAGAGCCCTTCTCCGACCCAGCTTTTCCCCTGGATGCGACCGCAAGGTGAGGCGAGATGGAGAGGACAGCGAGGAGGCATTTCCTGAGCCCATAAACAGCCCTCCTGCTTGCTTTCTGCCCCTCTCGCTCGCTTGCTTTCTTTCGCTCCCTTTTTCTTCCCCAGTGACTGTATTTTACTGCTTTATGGGGGTAAACTTTTGCACTTGTAAATTGCTTTATAGTTTAATTACCCTGAAGGAGACCTTTTCTTCTGGGGGCTGAGCGAGCCGGGCTTTCTGTGGAAGGAAGCGTCCTTAAAGTTTATGGCACTTTTATAGCCTTAAAAAGCCCCCTTCATTTTTGTTTTGCGTTTGATTTGGGATTTCGGTGGTGCTGCTGGCTCTCCCCGGGCTGCAGATCTTTTTTGTTGTTGTTGTTGTCCTTCCTTTCTTTTTTTCTTTCTTTTTTTTTTTTTTTTTTTCGGGATCCCAAAGAACCGGAGTCTGTTGTTGTTGTGGTGGTGGTG